GAATTAAAATTAATCAGCAGCATAATCAAATAATGGTAATAACAATTAAGATTATATGCTGTCCCTTAAGTACAAGGTTGGATGTTGCAGTTTGATATTGAAGGATTAACAAGTGATGGGAGGGGAAATTTGTCGATCATTTATTGATAGAAGATAACTTTATTACTAAGATAAAGAAGGTTTATTTGAAGCTATAAGCTCCCTTTGTATATCTTTTTTAAATTTGGGGATACTGTAACAGTACAATGGAAATAATTCCAAGTTTAAGTTGCTGGTTTTTATGTGATCAACAGTATGCCATTTACCTGACTATAATTACTTTGAGCTCAAAGTCTTTCCATGAAGTCCTAAAAGCTAGTGATGATAACTTTCGAGTGCAATTAATGTTATTTAAAGAAATGATTATAGCAGCAGTGACCCTCACAATGTAACAGTGCTATTGAGAGAGGTTCCTGGTTTTTGGAATGTATGTGCCTACTAGCGGTGTCCTGTCTCCACCCCCCCCCACCCCGAGACAGGGTGGTTTCTCTGTGTAGCCCTGGCTACACTATGTAGACCATGCTGATCTCAAAGTCACAGAGATGGTCCTGCCCATGTTTCCAAAGTACTGGGATTAAAGGTGTGCTCACTCCACTATGCCGGCCCTACTAGAGACTTTTAGAATGTAATTAGTGGTTCAGCTTGGAGATACTGGGCAGTGACCATTAGGGTAGCAGAACATATTAAAGGTGACTGAAGTAAGTTGTGCATTTGGCTTCATTCTAGGTGAACACATTTTCATGTGTAGCCCACGTGCTTGAGGTTTTGTTCATTGGTCATGCACATACTCACTGAACTCTTTCATTCATGAGAATAGGCTGGTTTGAAGTTTTAGTTGTGGTGCTTGCTCAGTTCTGCTTCTCAATTTTTCAGAAGCTAGGTCCAAAATACACAAAGGCCCACATTCTTTGTTTCTAGATATTTAAAAGTTATAAATCAAAGAAATGGATTGCAAAGAGCTGAGGAGATGAGAGAAGAAGAGAGGAGGTGAGGGGGGCCTTCCGCTCCCCTGAGGTAACAGAAGTAGATCAGGGATCAGATCGATCAATGTGGGTGTAGACCTCTCAGGCTGCAGAAATGCCATGGCATATTTGGGAAGAGACAACCTGTGGGGTAGCCAGACTCTCTTTCCTCCCCTATCTGGGCTTGTCCCCATCCAATAAGAGCTGTGCTTGCACATAGTGCAGCATTATCTACACTGTGGAATGGCAGTATTTCGGATACTCTCAGCTCTGAAGGTCCTACTACAGGGCTGAGTGCCCTAATGAGGAAGGACTTACAAAAGGGACCTAGCAGGCTGTGAAAGTCAACTCGGGGCTGTTCGACTCTGATTTCTAAGCCATAGGACTTAGTGGGCAGGGCAAACTCTGAGTGGGAAAATTCTTTGCTCTGGGGTACTATTGTAGAAAGGAGTGTGGTCAGCAGAATAATGAGGAGATATTTCTGGAGCCCTGTTCTCTGGCGAGGCACCTTTTACCCAGGTTGAGGGGGATGGGATGGGGTAGGTGGGTAATATTGTGTATGAAAGGAAGTGTCCCTTAAGAGGATTGGATTTCCAGGTTTCCAAGCTATGATCCAGAGTTCAAAATACAAAACTACAAAGCATGATTTGCCAGTGAATAAATACTAGGTTGCTTAATTGCACATAAAAAATAGACAACTGGCCTTTTAACTTTGTTAGATTTTTTTTTTTTTAATTTTAGGACTTAAAAAATAATGGCATTGAATAGGGATTTATACCTTCTTCGTAGAGCTTCTAATCTTTCACTCATTTTAGTTTCTTCCTAACTAATTTAAAATAGCTGTTAGTTCTTATGTGGGTGATAGCATTGTTAGGGCAAAACTGGATAAAAGGAATGGTATTTTTAATGTAGTCTAGTCCTGGTTCAATTTCCTAGCGTATTAAGAGGAAAGAGAAAAGTAAATCAACTTGCAACTCAGTGTCCTCAGATTATTAAATCTAGAGGTAGGAATATAATTTTACATCACAAAAATTCATCCCATGCAACTTTGCATAAAAAAATTATCTTTCTGATTGGTCTCACGTTAATATGCAATTGTAGTTTTTACAATAATTTAGAGGAAGAAAGAACCAATTCAGAGTCAAAGGGAATACTTGATTAGTCTATTGTATAAGAGCAATAAAAGCTAATTTACTGTTATATTACTCAATATTGAAAGCTGCAAGAAACTCTCAGATCTTTATTCATTAATTATGTTATATTGTAGTGGTATTAGTATCAATTATAGATGAGTTTTATGGAAGGCTTTTAAGTTGACATCTCTGAGTTGTATTTTGCCTCACGTAAATATCTTTGACATATTTTCTGCCTGATCACTGAAGGGCAAATGAAGTGTTGAAGGCAGAATGGATGAATCAGTCACTGTAGTTTCTCTCTGAAAACTCTTGTGATAAACTGTCTTTGGAATACAACGATCTCTATTAGTAAGTAGCAAGTTCCAGTTGTTCGAATTACATAGTTGTACTTTTACAAAGGTCTTTCACCTATTGATAAAAAAAAAAAATAGCCCTTCTTACTTTGCCTTTTGTGCTAGATTATGGGAGTTTGTTTTTCTTTTTTAAATTGGTTTTGAAGGCTTTACATTGCCCAGAGTTCCTCAGTTTTGTCCATAGGCAAGTAATTGACCTTTGCTAAAATCCAGGCAAGAGGTATGTGTGATATTTTAAAGATGATAATTCTAATTGAGCCCTTGGGGGAGGTTTAGCAGTCCTTGTTGTGCACATATATGATCATGGTACAGAAGTGCATTTGTTTTTAGATATGTGATTTTAGCCTAATCTTGTGCTGTGTAGGTAGACATAGAATATTAAATCAAACATTAAAATGGGAATTGATAAATAAATATTGTGACCATTAGTTTTTGAAAAGCAGTAACGCCATTAGTTCTTAGGCTGCACTAGTCTCCCGGCCTATGTAACAGAGCACTGCAGACTGATGGCGTCAGCGGATCAGTCTAGAGACTGGAAGTTTTTTGGCCTCTCTCCTTGGTTTTGGCTTTAGTGACCTTCTTCCTCATCTGTGCTGCCAGGTTTCTCCGTATGTGCCTGGGTTCTAATATTGTATGAGATTAAGATCCCCCTTCCTTACATTATTTTACCTTAATTAACTATTTAAAGACCTTGTCTCCAATACAATCATATTCTGAGGCAGGAGGAGTTAGGATTTTGCCTGACACAGAAATGCCTTTTTAAATTTTGTCTTTCCCTCATTTGATTGTACAAATGGGAAAGGTCAATGCCAGGCTGTTGATAGGGAAAAAGAATGCCAACTATTCTATTATTTTTCAGAGTTTCTGTTGTATCTCCCAAGCTTAGTCTTGAGTACTCACATCTTCAAACTCAAGATTGTTGGGATGGACATCCTCACTGAAGGGTAGAGTGTTGGGATGAACATCCTCACCGATGGGTAGAGTGTTGGGATGGACAGCCTCACTGAAGGGTAAATAGCCATTTCTTTGCTCCTCTATGGGAATCTAGATACAGGTCCTGGCCCTGTGCCTGATGCAGCACTTGGAGTTAGTGCCCTGGTGAAACATGATGGAATTCCTTGCACACCACTCTTGCATAAGAGATCTTGGAGTTTTGCTGAAGGCAAAGGCTTTTTAGTCTAACATGGGAAAGTTAAATCATCCAGAAAGTATTCTTTGTTGACAAACCAGCTCAAATGTGCCCTAGATTGAGAAAGTCTTACAAAGAAAATTTGATATTGTATTCTTGTTTGGCTCCTAGTATCATACCTGAATATTGCAGGTGCCCAGCAACTGGGAGAAATTGTCACAGCTACATTACCCTTTTCAGACACATCTGTTTCAGAATACACTGTTAAAGCAAGCATATTATATGCACTTCCCCATCAAGGTTTTTCTTTTTCTTTTTTTTTTTTCCACTGGCAAATGCAATATAGGCTGTTAAGTTAATCATAGTTATAGGCTGTTAAGTTAATCATAGGCAAACGGAAGTGCTGTTTGGACTTACTACCCTGCAGGTCTCTTGAATGTGTGAATTTTGGTAGCAGTTGAACAGTAGGTCAGCTTGGAAGTAGTAGCTCTCCTCCCTTCAAGATGTTTACATGAGAACAAATCATCCTCCACAGGGTCCACTCTGTCTGCCACTAGTCTGTGCAATGGTGGCCATGCAGATTATAACCTTTGCCATTTTAGTCATCTGTCTGGTAGACCTGGGCTTGACTTGTGACTTTTGTTAAGAATGTTTCCTGTACCCCAAGTCTAATGATTTGGGGGAATAATTTCCAAGTTATTTGAGAAGTAGTAGGATAATTTAGGGAACCAAATTCTCTTCCGGAGGGGGCGGGGCATTAACATGTTCATGTTTGTTGTTTATTTAGTGTTATTTTTTTGCTCCCAGACAATTGCATGATGGGAGCAAATGCCTGTTTTTGGCAGAATGCTATGTTCAGAATTTGTATCAGCTCTGTAACCTATCTTATGCTTTGCTGCGAGTGTTAAGGCTTAGTTTGGATTTACCTTGGTTTGTTTTAGTTTTAACTTAGTGGATGGGTGGGGATTTCAGATGTATGATGAGAGGGTACAATTCTGATCCCAAATTATGAGAATACTTGTTAGCACTATTTAGATTTTTAAATCTAGAGTAAAAAAATCCATACCTAGAGACAAGTAATTGAATTAATTGTTAAATATAAGTAATTGCTTTTTTTTAAAGCTTTAGTTCATTGTTTTCATTTCTGTCTGAATTTTTGTGAATGTCTGAATATTTCATCATTTCAGTGACATTAGTTTTTTAGTTCCCTGTCAACCAATAGAGAATTTCATTAATTAAACACACTGTTAGCTTTTAAAATGTGGGCTTTATTTGAATAAAGAGCTAAGGGTATCTATCCAATAGTAATTCGATGGAATGTGACTAAGTTGAAATCAGCCATATCATTTGGACCTTGTGGTGTATTTGTGTCTTGATTTAGGTTGGTTGAAGACTTTCAATGACTACTTTAGAGACAAGACTCAGTATATTTTTAATAACATGGTCCTAAAGCTGAAAGAAGACGCAAGCAGGAAGTTTATATGGTCTGAGATCTCTTACCTTTCAAAATGGTGGGATATCATAGATAATCCGAAGAAGGAAGCTGTTAAAAGGTTTGTCTCAAAACTTTTTTTAATTTAGTAATATTAAAGATCCATGACAAATGTGGAATTTTTAGAAGGTGAACTTTCGGGTTTTTTTTTTTTTTTTTTTAGGTGAACTTTTAGTGTAATAGCTGAAATTCAGAATTGCCCACATCCTGTTTGTGTTGATTTTAGTTTGTCCCTGAGAAGGGGAAGCAAAGCCTTTCTATTGAAATCCTTATGTTCATCCTGTCCTAGCAATGGACTCGCTAGGTAAAGGAGTTGTTATTTTCAGGGCCTTTCAGATGTATCATTGCCCAGTTTTCTAAATATGAATGTGTCAATGTCTCTGCCTCTTGTCAACTATGTGATTTTTAAAAAACGTGACCAACATGTCTCAAAAATAATTTGTTTTCTTTTTTTTTTTTTTTTTTTTTAACCAATAATTTTCTCAGATGAACAAAGGTAGTTTTTGGCTTTGTTTTGGTGGCTTGGCTCATATTCTTTTTTTTTTTTTTAAACTGATTTGTAGGGATGTGTCTTCTGAAGATTTTATTTTCTTATTAGTTCACGATACACACACCAACTTTTTACATAGTCAAATCTTTTCTCTTTTGCTGTTGCGCCTGCTGCCAGAGTTAGGTCTTCCTCAACCCACAGTTAAGGTAAATAGTTCATTTTTTAATCCACTGCGTTAATGTTTTATTTTAACCCTCAGTTTAAAAACTCTTACTTAACGATCGAAAAGTTGGTATTTGGGGAGGCTCTCTGGTCCACGCGCAATTGATTTGAAGAGTTAGACATTGGCAGGGGTTATTTGTTCGCTGTCCCCAGGTAGCTCTTGGTAGCTCGTCAGTCGTGGCTGACACCCCTCTCTGTGGCCTGTGAGGTAGGTTTCCGCTGCCCAGTCCGGGGCACCGGCTCACTCAGGGTCACAGTGCTCTCAGGTCAGGACTGGTGGTCCACCTGCCCAGGCTGGCCACCTGCTGAGTCCTGTGCACACATGCTGCTTCCCTGAGAAGTTTTTTTAAAGCTGTTTTTTAAAATTTATTTTTATTTTATATGCATTGGTGTTTTGCCTACATGTATGTCTGTGTGAGGGTGTCAGATCTGGTAGTTACACACAGTTGTGAACTGCCGTGTGGGTGCTGGGCATTGAACCCGGGTCCTCTGAAAGAGCAGTGAGTGCTCTTAACTGCCGAGTCATCTCTCCAGCCCACTTCTGAGTTTTAATGTGTCCATCTTTTTCTACTGATACGAAGTGTCATCTTTAGTGTACTAAAATATGCACCGGCTTGGGCTTTCTGATCTGTTTCATGGATTTTGATGACGTTTGTCTAAAACTATTGGAATTTTATAATGTTTCAAAAACTGGCAGTTTAAATCTTTTCTTTCTGTATTGAAAAGCCTTTTAATGAGTAACAATTTAATTTTCCCAAAGGGTTTTAGAATTAATTTAAGTTTCTTCCTGCCTCATCAAAAAATATCTTTAGATTTTTAATAGATTGACATGAACATTTAAAGATAATTTGAGGAGAATTGATGGCTATCATATTCATTGGAGAGCATTTTTTTTCTCACTGGTAACAGTCTCATATGGTTGGCTAGGAGAGAGATACAGGCTTTGAGGACAGGAGAATAAATAAACTAGGGAACTACCATGGTCCTAGGAGAAGCCGCTCTTCTCTATAGACAAGTGCTGCCATAGTAACCAGGGTTGACAGGATCCAGTTAACACCAGAGAATCTGCAATCTGCAATTCCAAAGTGTTATATAATGTATCTTGACTTTCTGAGTTGAAATATTAGTAATGCTTTAGATGAACATCATGTTCTCTCTCCTTCACACATGGGGTGTGTGTGTGTGTGTGTGTGTGTGTGTGTGTGTGTGTGTGTGTGTGTGTAGAGAGAGAGAGAGAGAGACAGAGACAGAGACAGAGAGAGAACAGAGATGATAGAGAGACAGAGATACACTGGAACGTAGAAAGGAAAGGAGAGAATTCGAGAACACTAAACAGCATTCTGAATCCATAGATTATCCATAGATCTATCCAACCTTTGGTACCTTTGAAAAAATCTGAGCTCTTATAAAATTACATAGAACTAGTGAGTGCTTTATTGCTAGCTCTTAAGAACTGAGATTTGCCGGGCAGTGATGGCGCACACCTTTAATCCCAGCACTCGGGAGGCAGAGGCAGGCGGATCTCTGTGAGTTCGAGGCCAGCCTGGTCTCCAAAGCGAGTTCCAGGAAAGGCGCAAAGCTACACAGAGAAACCCTGTCTCGAAAAAACAAAAACAAAAACAAAAAAAAAAAAAAAAAAAGAAGAGTTTTGTTTGTTTACATCTTTGCTGGGTTTTATACCCTTGTTGGAGAATATTATTTTAAGGTGTGTTACTTTTGTTTATGTTGCATTTGTTTAGCTCTGTGAAGCTGTGTTACTGTGCCTGTGTAAAACACCTGATGGGCTAATAGAGAACTGGCCAATAGCGAGGCAGGAGAGAGAAATAGGCAGGACTGGCAGGCAGAGAGGATAAATAGAAGGAGAAATCTGGGAAAGAAAGGAGTAGCCAGAGAAGGAGGACTCCAGGGTCCAGCCACCCAGCTACACAGCAAGCCACGGAGTAAGAGTAAGATTTACAGAAATAAGAGAACAGGAAAAGCCAAGAGGCAAAGGTAGACGGGATAATTTAAGTTAAGAAAAGCTGGCAAGAAACAAGCCAAGATAAGGCCGGGTGTTTATAACTAAGAATAAGTCTCTGTGTGTGTTTACTTGGGAGCTGGGTGGAGAGCCCCCAAAAAGCAAAAACCCACCAACAACATACCCTCCTTCTTTTCTGCTCTTTGTCTTTCATGACTCCTTCTCCCTGCTTGCACTAGTGTTAAATGGGCGGTCCGTTTACCCGACAGACAGTACACCTCCCCCGCTTTCCTTTTAGCTTGTTTTAACTAGCCAGGGTTGTCTTTTTTTTTTTTTTTTTTTTTTTTTTCTCCCCCCATTTCTACATGGTATTTCCCTGTACTTAACTGTTGGTTTTTTTTTTTTGTTGTGTGTGTTTATTTTTGTTTTTTGACTTCAGCATACTGGAGAGTATCTTGCAACTTTAAGTGCTATTTTCCAGGTTATGTTTATTTATAGGTAGCTTGAATATCTAGTGGTCTGAGAGTATGGGCTCCACAAGGTTCATTCCTCTGTTCATTCACTTCAGTGTATGGCCAGTGTTGAACCTTACACTGGTGCCTGGAGAGGGGAGTGTTTTAAAGTGCATTTGAATGGGTCAGTGTTTTATAGTTATTGTTTTATCTGTGTACAGTCAGGTTGTCTGCTGTGCCACATACCCATTCCTAAAAATCACCCTTATGCAGAATTGCACAATTCAAGTTCAGGGCTTGTGGAAAAACAGATAAGGGTGAGATGGCTGAGTATTCAACAGTTTCCTTGATGACACATGAGAAGAACCCAGAACAGGAGACCCACAAAGGTACCAGTCCAGTTTGCCTGTCGGGTTCAGGCGGTTCAGAGTTGCATACGTGTTACGGAAAGTCTCTCAGCTTGTTTTGTGTCAGATTTGGAGCGTGGTCCTGGGTGCGGGTGTCAAGCAGAGGACGGAGCTTAGTTACTGTGGAATTGTGGCAAGTGTGTTTTCTGAGATCTGATGTGAAGTTGTGCAGAGGGTACGCATGAGTATGACTTGCATCATGATGAGCTGAGGGAGCTGGTCAATATCCAAATGTGCCGCCCTGCAGGACTGGGTTCAGCCAGGCACAGGCATCTGCCTTCACCTACTGCTTCCCAGGGACTAAATTTTACAGAGGAATAGCAAATCTTTTCACTAACTGAATCAATCATCACTTTGGAACAAAATTTCATTTTTTCTTACATTGATTTTTTTTTTGTTTTTTTGTTCATGTGTTGTGTGCACATCTGGGCATGCAGAGGTCAGAGGACAACCTGTGGGAATTGGTTCTTTCCACCACGGTCCCTGGAGAATGAACTTAGGTCACCAGCCTTGATAGTAAGCACCTTTACACGTTGGACCATCTCTCTGGCCCAAATTCTCATTTCTAAAGCCAGTATTCATAGCAGAACTGACAGTAGTTCTTGCTACTCTTTCCTCGCCAGCTTCCTTTGGGCTCCTTTTTTTGCTTGTCCTTTTGCTCACTCCTCCATCTATCCATCCATCCATCTATCCATCTATTCATCCATCCATCCATACACCATCCATCAGTCCACCCACCCACCCACCCACCCACCCACCCATCCACCCACCCATCCACTCACCCACCCGTCTGTCCGTCTGTCCGTCCATCCACCCACCCATCCAGCTATCTACCCATCCCTCCACCCATCCTTCCACCCATCCTTCCATCTATCCATCCATCCATCCATCCATCCATCCATCCATCCATCCATCCATCTACATCCATTCATCCATCAATCCACCCACCCACCACCCATCCATCCACACCCACCCCCCACCAGGTAGTCCTGAAAGTCAGGTGTAGTGCAGGAATTAAAAAGCTCCGGGCACTCCCAGGCTGTTGATTCCTTTTCATAAGACGCCGTCATCTCTTTGAGCACTGAAGAATTGGTTTTCTTTTAAATGACTAGTGTTGCTGTCACTGCCACTTTGGTGTCCCTTTTACTGTAAGGGCAGCCGGTTTGCAACGGTAGGTGTGGAAGGGCTGAGGACGGTGGCCAGGCTGCCTGGGTTCAAATCCTGACAGTTTCTGTTACTTTTGGGCAAGTTACTTAATTTTTCTGTGCTGCAGTGCATTTGCCAAATGGGGTTAACACCGGGGCCTCTTCTGTTGGATTTTCATGAAGATCCAATTAATATAAATACGATGCTTAACATATTTTATTATTTTTGCAGTGTTGAGAATCAAACCCAGGGCTTCTCACGTGCCCATCAAGTCCTCTGCTAAACACCTATATATATCCCTAGCCTGAGAGACTTCTAAAAATTCCTAGTAAATACTAGTGGTTCTTATTTTTACAACTTTTATTTTCCACTTGGACTATTTTTCTT